AATAGAGTAGAGGCCCTTTAAGTTGTCTAGAAAAGATTGACTTCCTTTTGCGTCTTTATCCACTATGAATTGTTAAGTCTAGAAACAGCTGGATCTCTTTATGCAATATGGTTGGTTAAGTAGACGTCATTGGCGAACTCGATGTAGAGTCTATTTTTTTTTGCTCAAATTTATGAAAACTATTCAACAAAATCTACAGAAACGTATCCTATACTTTATCTGAAAGGTTTTATCAAAATAATCTCGAAATTAAGATTTCATGCCAAAAATATTCAAGAAATTAATTTAAACTTTTTAAGTTCCTTCTAAAAATGCCATTAGGAAAGTATTACAAAGCTACTCTACGCAAACTGCACACCTTGTGGAGAAATATGTCTCAAACGTATTCAAAAGATTACAACTAAAACTATCGAGTCTTAAGAAGGCCCAAAACCGCAACAATTTTAAGCTGCTTGTTTAACTCAAATCAATCTTAATTAACCATTCTAGAACAAATTCCGTAGATACAGAATGATGTGCATAGCATATTTAAAGAAATAGGAAGGAATTTTATTTGACCACTGAGACTACTTAAGGAGAATTTTAGTAATTTTCTTACAACAGTTACAATTAGCTTAAGGGGAAGGAATACGGCGACACATATGTCTTCGGAGTACTGTAATTCGAAGCATTGCATCTTTCTCCTGTTACTTCCACACATATGCGCGAAGAAATTTCTCCTCACTGCTTACACCCATCTCTTAACTTCAATACGTTCTTTCCCTGTCTATCCCAGAAATATAAGCGTTTACATATTTAAAGCAACTACTCCACTTCGCTCCGTATCCCTATAAATCACTATTACTACTTATACCAGGCGAACACAACTTTATTACTATCAATTCATTAAAAATGTCTCTAATAAAATATACTCAGGACATATTTTGGCTCAGGAGACAATCTCTAAGCTAAATATTCGGGCGAAAAACATCTCCCAGGACATAACTACACTGGCCCAGGAACCCGTTTAGAATTACGACTAGATTCAAACGATAATCCCAAGCCAGGAGAAGAACCTATAAAAACATAATAGAGCAAGCAGCGCTAAAACACAATATTCTATACAGAGATCATAAAAAACTTAGAATCTAGACATAAAGCGGATCAACAAATGATTCACGAAATAGTGTCTATTCCAAATCCTACTTTTAGAGAAAAAGTTGAAAGATCTCTAGTCACAAGACTTTTAAAATCAAAATGAAATTAGGCATGGGAATAGCAGATGAAATTAATAAAGAATTCAGAAAAACTACAAAGTTAAAGTTAATGGCAAAGATAATATATGGTCAGCTGATTTAATTAATACGCCAGTTGAAAGAGTATATAGATATTGTTTAACCGTTATCCTTAAATTAGTACTGGTAGTTTTAGAATGTTTATATTTGTGATAAATCCTGACCGAAAAATTATCTCTATATATTTGTAATGGCACGTGAATTGATCTCATGTAACATATTGCTTTGTGTAATCTGTAATTTTAATAGGTTAATGGTCCTCAATTATTTAACTTATCGGACTGCTTTCGGCCATTAACCTATACTTATTCGTTGTTAAGAGAAGAAAGATGTGAGAAATGAAATATTGTGCGTTAACATTAATCTTAAAGTTCAAATACCATCAACTCCAAAAAATTAAGATATTCTTGCGATCTCGGACTGATGAATATAAATCTTGAAGAGAAACTGACTCCTGGTTGGTTACACGATGTTATATTGTAGACTAACTGACCAATTGATTCAGTATCTTTGTAACATACTGGGCTTCCATTAAATGTTTCGAAATCGCAATGTCCATTATTACTCAACTTTAACTCGAATCCCGCCAATCTATTGAATGCGACTGAAAAAAAAAGAATATTAGTATATTAACACAGCTCGATTGTCATCAGTCAAGGTGAAAATTCAACTCAATAAACAATATGGATAAAGATGATGTAAAATTAATTTGGTATTCAGAGGCAACACAAGAAAATTTCTTTAAATAGACTTTATAAGTATATGTTCAAATAGTAAGCCTAGCTTTATTTTTAGTGTTGCTTACAGGCATCTTAATGCGACATTCCGCTTTTTTTGTAGGTCAAAATTTTTTTTTCTAAAATTTGTGAAAACTATACACTAAAATCGTAAGAAATGTGCCCTTTAATACATCTGAAAGTATTAACTATAAAATCAAGCCGTAAATTTTTTAACGCCAAATATATTTAAAATCATTACGTAACCTATTTACGTTCTTGATGCTGTTTGGAATCTATTAGTAAACTACTGTACGGATTTGAGTAAAATAATCGCCTAATTTTACAGAAATATGTGCCCTACGTATTAATAAGGTTTCAACTAATAATATCGAGCCATCATAAATTGAAACAGTAAAACAAGGTCAAACTAGTTAATCAACTCTCTCCGTTTTTAAGTAACCATTTTAGACAACTTCAGTTGACCAGGAAATGATTTTAGAAATATTTAAAAATCCAAATGGATTTCAAAAACGACGTTTTTGATAATGATAACTTCTTAGCCCTTTAAAAGTAAGGACTTTAAGAGTTATAATTTGAAGCTCTTAATGTGATATTTATTGTGAAACGCGACAAAAATAAAATATTTATACAATATGTTCAACTCAAACTAAAGCGGCCCATACACGATCAATTATATTACACAATAGTATTGCACAATCGAATTGAGTTATTTTTCTGACCGACACACACGATTCAATCAAATCGCACAATAGTATCGAGCAAAAGTGCATCATTTATACTTTAAACTTCGACCAGAATGGATGCATCGATCGCTATCGCGTTGATATTTGCTTCTAGACGTAGAAAACGGAGCAGACGAAGGATTTGGGCAAAACAATGGTTTCTAGAGCGTGGACGTAAGTTCGGCAAGGGTTAGGGCTGTTCTTGGTCCATTAGGAATAGCATGGCATTATAGTACCACACTGTACGCTCATACACATCATCACTACCAGCACCTGATTTTTTTGAATCCATAACTTTTTAAATTTCTTTTCTGAAGTTCGTTCGAAGGGAATTCAGTTTTTTCTTTACATCATCTTTTTCTCAAGTAGGATACTTCTCCTTAAATTTGGTTACAAGAACCTTATAAGCCTGGTTTTTCATTGTCCGATTACTATATTCTTTACTTTTGATATTCCATAATACAGGATGTTCTTTATAGAGTTCAATGCACTCCAATAAGAATTTTTTCTCTTGGGTGGTGGACATGTTTCCAGTAAAAGTTTGTCGTGTAAAATGAATATATTGCACAATATAAATGAAACATCCCACACACTGTAAATGAAATAATTGCGCAAGTCTGAAAATTTCTACCAAATTTAGAAATTCTGAGTGTGCAAGCCTTCAATATCACCCACACACGGTCCATATAACTGCGCAATGTCAGTTCACGCAATACTATTGTGCGATATTATTGATCGTGTATGGGCCGCTTAAGCTTTACAGGAGTTTAAGAAAACACAATAATGTGATATTGAATTCCAATGAGTTACCGATCAAAAAAGATAAAAAAAAATATTTTTTTGTTCATCCAGACTTCACATGCATGGACATTTATGGTTGGTTAAAACTCTTATTCATATGCGTTAAGAACAGAAAGATATGAGTCACGATCCATAATAGGTCATTAGAAACACCAATTAATGAAATGGTTTGCTTAATTTGACACAAAAATAAGGAATACGACCTTGCTATATGAATCAGGCACACCTTTGACTTCTATTTGGGACATTCCAATTCGTCGTCCGATGCCTTGGGATCCAGAATTCTGGAAGTGAATTACAGGCATCTGACGAAGAATTGGAATGTCCCAAAAAGAAATAAACAAAATACATATATGTAAAGGCTAGAAAACCTCTTTACAATCCTTTTTAGACATACATAAGATCGATATTTACGACAGTTTGTGATTGATTGTTTCTCTTGGTTGACATAAATATACTTACCTTGGTTTCCACCCCGTCTGTTGTATAGAACGACGGATTGAAAGTCGTATATTTTCTCTAAGTCAACACACCACCATTCTGTGTCAGAATTCTTGGTGTGAACAATGCCATTCAACTTTCCGTCAACACCTTTACATGCTGCGAAATTACTCCTCTTACTGCTCATAATAGCAGGTTTATTCAAAGCGATGTTCTTAGTAAAAGGTCCTGAAATTACGTTTATACGTTAAGAGAACTATATACTCAAGTATAAAAAAGAATCGACATTAATCAAGAATTCAAAACACTCCGTACCGGATGGTCTGTTTTACGTAAGTCTGTTTTAATATTACCAAACTGGCTACCGAGAAATTTCAATCGAGCATTTACCAAATTGTTACCCATTGTAAAAGGTCATTCCTTATATACATATATATGACAATTCCAATTAGCATAAAAAATCATTTAAGATTTTATTTAAGGATTGATGCGTTACACATAACAGATATATTTAAAGAATGCTTGACTGCTGGTCAATGGTGGGACAACTTCAACAATTAATGATAGAAACAGTAATAATTTAAATTCTAGATTTATCAATAAACAATCTTTACCTTGAAGTAAAAATGTTACCATACCAATATCGTAACTAGATAAAATGTCCGTGGGAAACTTATTATAAAAGTAACACTTGTGTTTAAATTCATGATAAGCGACACCATAGCATGTGGCATTAATAGAACACGAACTTGCACATGGAATTAGCCCGATAATTATCGACTGGTGAAAATATCCCGATAAAAATTCATCTTTCAAATATAAGGTTAAGAACATTGAAGACAGAGTACCTTTACACATAAGCACAATTAACAAAGTATTCCAGAATACACACAACATTTTAGACTATTATTTTTAACTAGATTCCAGATGAAGGAGACCAATTACTGCTTGATCTCCAGGAACATGTCCCTATGCAATACGCTATCCATAAAAATCAACGAAATCATTGCGGTAAATAGGAGACAAATAAGATACGTGACTTGTAACATAATTAAAATGATTGACAGCTTGTTCTTATTATAACAATGGTTCGAATTGGTAAAACTTAGCATTTGCTTTTTCTGGGCTTTTCCTTATTTCTGCATTCATGAAACCTAAGAGTTTGCTATCGTGAGAATGAAGATAAAGCAAAAGCATGGTATTAAAAATCTTGCGCTAAGAATCGGCAATTGCTAGTCCTCCATTTATTTAATATATTACATTGATTAGTCATTGTTTGTTTCTTCGAACGCACTGCATTGTTTTGCAAATGGTTTTTTTTTTTTTTTTTTTTTTCGAATTCTGGTCAGAGCGCCCAGCAAAAACTATACATGCCACATAAATACTGTTAACATTTAATGCCACTAGACTAAATCTGATGAATGTATTTTCATGCATATTTTTTCCAACCGGAAATGACGAGAACAAAATCCATTTTTTACGTTTTTACTAATTTTCTGCTCCAATTTTGATCGATCTTTTTTTGTTATTAAGTTCGCGCTAACGGCTATAAGATAGCAATTAAAAAATTCTAAAATTTAAACTTTTGTCGCTGACTTTTTTAGTTTCAATTTTTGAGGTTTTTCACTTTTTTTCTAACTTGTACAATTTTATTTCGATCGATATGAAAACTTACAGATAGTTAGATGATTTGATTGCAAACTAAAATTAATTTTCAAAGTTTCGATATCACTTCCGGTTTTGACGTTATTCGCTCCTAAAGTTGAAATTTTAACTTCCGGAATTTTGCAGATATTTGAAAAATTCTTTTTGCAATTAGTTAGAGTAGTCCCCATAAAGATGTTGAAATTAATAAATTCGACCCGAAGTAGAGGGTCTGACGTCATCTTGATACACCTAATTTTTATAAAACTCAAAATGGGGCCTTAGAGGTAAAGCCGATGTGTGTGATGTTAGTGTCTATAGAATCTGTAATCGATTGCTAACAAAACACTTGAAGCCGATTTTTGAATTTCGGCTTTGCTTTTTTTTAATTTCCGGTTTTATTTTTTCAGTAATTGTTAAAACTGTTAAGGCATATATCTAGTTACCTTGACCTTTGGTGACCTTGTGACCTGCACAGTTGTGGCCCCTAACGAGATCTATCTAGAAATATATTTACCTTTGTCACGCGATGTTAACTTCCGGTTCTAGAGCCATTTGAAAATCGCAACTTTTATCTTTAAAGAGCTCTGTCACGTGACCTAATTATCATACCACAAAATTTATTTTATTTCATTAATGTGTGCGATTTCTCCTGTCTGAAGATATATCACACTTGATATATTGATCAATATTGAGCTTTTTAAAAATTTAAATTTTTACACCGACGTCTATAGTAACTGTGCGTAATTTGGTTTTTGCCGTATAAACTCAAACCTTTAACGTATAACAACGAATATCTCATGATCTAATAATTGTAGATGCTTGAAATTTTGAACATCATTTAACCTTGTACATATGATAGCAGATACAGCAAAAGTTTTGGGAGGGCGTGGCACATCCGGGTTAGAATTACATCAATATTACATAATATTTGTAATTTATCATAACTTGCAAAGTATACATTTTTCACCGATAACATTTTGCAGGAATATAGGACACTTGTTTGGCCAATATCGTAGGAAGATAAATCTGTTTGGGCTTTTTCCTTTTAAAAAAGGAATAGGTTTTACAATAGACTAAATTTTTATTTTTGACCTTCATCTTTGCTGACCTTGACAAGGTCAAAAGTCATTGATCTATAATGTCAATACATGTTTTGATCTATGATGTCCGACACCTATTTACGGTTTTATAGGCTTCCAAAAACAGCAATTTTCAAAACTTGTAAGGCTCCTCGTGACCTTGACATATGGTTACTATGTCGCCTGAACAAAAGTCATATCCATTGACAACATCTATCACATGGTGTCTTTGGTTTTTTTGTACGATTTTTACATCCGTTTTTATAGCCATTTGAATATCGCAAATACGACAATAACACAAACAAACATTTCTTAAATGGTCGGAACATGGATTCCTATATTTCAAAATCTCTAAATATTGAAGAGACTAATCCAATTCCGTACAAAAAAATCAATTCTACAAAAGTAATTTTTAATTCTTTTAAGAAAGAAATTTAAAAATGTGTTAGAATTGTATCGTTGAGCACTGAAAAGTTTTAAAAGAAACGTAAGGGGTATATATTCTTGTAATTTACAATACACCATTCGAAGGAAAATCTGTGAAAATACTCTGGTTTCATGAAACCTTTCTAATAGGTATAATGAAATATACTATGCATCATTCTACCAGGATGCAATGCACTGCTTCAGCGCCGTTGCACTTACAGCTCTAGTATTTTGTTTGTTTTAGTGACACCATGTGGTGTATAACCTATGATATTGTTTTGAAGTCATTGAGTTTCTTTTTCTGTGATATTTTCTTGTTTTGTTCTGGGATATTCTGTTTTGTTATATATTGTTTATTACTTCGACTGCTATCCCAATATTCATGTATCTCAAGGAACATGCTTAAGGCTTTCATTTTATATTAAGTAAAAAGAATGATAAATGATAAATTATCCATGTATGTTACAACACAAAATTGCTGAAACTATAACCGTGAACAGCTCCAAGCGTGGCAACAAGACCTTATACCATGGCTATTTTGTAGTGTTATATACCATTAGAAAGAAAAGATTAAGTGTATTTATGTTGAAAGGCCATTTTGTCGTATTGACTTAGGTCACGTGACAGAGCTCTTTAACTTAAAAAATGCGATATTCTAATGGCTGTAAAACCGGAAGCGAACTTCGCACAACAAAAGTGAACATATCATTGGAAAGATCTTATTAAGGGCAATATCTTTTGTGCAGGTGACAAGATCACCACAGGTCAAGGTCACGATTCTTCCTACAATTACTGAAAAAAGTCAAACGGAAATTCAAAACCCCACGCTCATACGTTTAGCGCAATCGATTATTTGTTCTAAAGATGTCAAAATCATGTAAATCAGATTAACCACAAGGCCTCACTTTGAGTTTTACAAAATATAGTCATGAGTTAGTCTTTCAAACGTTTTTGGTTTTGTATACGACTCTTCTTTAAGTGAAACAGAATAGTAGGACGTTACACTCCATTCACTTCATTTCTTTCACTTCATTTCTTTAAGTTTAAATTAATAATTCTGTCCAAATCTGCCACGAACTATATTAGTGTGTTCAAGCTTGAACTAGAACGCTTTTCAAAAAACAAGGAAAATAACTAATTAATATTTTTCAACACTTTTAATGAGGTTCCTACTTGATTTGTATGAAGTTTTATCTAACTTAATCTAAATTTATCAATAATTGTGCCTTCTACAGTGTTCACGAGCTAATTAACAAGTTATATTGTGATAGGGTTCATCGTTTGTTGTTAATAAACAATTTCACAGTTTCGTCTAAATCCGTTAAGAATTGTGCATTCTACACTGTTTACAAGCTAAAAATGGAACGCGTTGCCAAGAAAAAGGGCAATAACTCATGTCAAATATTTCCTGGATTTTTTTTTATTTTCACAGGTCTCGTGATATGGTAATAATAAACAATTTCACAAAGTTTAGTTCAAATCGGTAAGAATTGTGCTTTCTCGAGTATTTACAAGCTACAGACTGAACCCTTACCGAAAGACAAGAGCAATGCCTCATAAAAATCAAAACATTGTAAATTTTAAGATTTTTCATTCATAATAATCACTGATATGATAATATACCAATAAAATAAGCAATTAGATGCTCATTAGGAAGGCTTTGTTCTTTTACTTGCATTAACAGTCCAAATATAGGAACAGTTGTCGACAAATCCTAGTTGAATTTACATGTGTTTGATTCCAAAACGTCTTACACTAATAAAATACCATTTTTATATAAATTTTTATCAAATACAAGATTATTTCCAATTTTCACATATTTATTATTTCAAACTATTTGTTTATTTAAGTCGTTAATATTTCCTATATTTACTGTATACGTTGAATACCATTTTTCATATAAATATCTTTTTATATATATATCTTTTTAAAAACTTACAACCTGGTAATATAAAACCATTATATTTCGGGGAAGGGAGGGTTTGATTCTCCCAAATGTACAGGTCTAGGGTTGAGCAGACACTTTATTTAGAAA